TGCAAAAAAATACAATATTAATATAGCCAATACCTAATGATAAGAAAACCATATCAGATATGCATTAACATTAACCCACACTGCACCTGTGCCTGGGAGGGTGTTATTAACTGTGGTTGATTCTGGACAAATTTACTGCGAAAGTGTCATATCACACAGTTATCACGGTTTTAATGATAGTTAAGTTTTGAAACGGTAGCATAATATTAACTGTCAGGAATTCTACCATGCTTTACCTTTAAACCGTTAATCGTTCATCCCTAGCTACGGTATGTTTTACTCTGAAGCAGACTTTTATTTTGAAGGACGGCACAGAAGACCTGAAGTAGGGAGGGTTTTGTTGTACTTATTTTAGCGGGTTTTTCTTTATCTCTATGGCGGACTTTTGCCGGTATAAGACCTGGAAAGCACCATGAGAGCATAATAAATTGTTCAAAGACAGCACCTTACTTGTTTTGTACACAACTTAACACAGAGCAAAGTAAAACCCAAAACAGTTCACTTTAAAAGTGATTTACAGTGACAGATGAAATGACAACGTCTAGATGAGCTCACACAATTAATTTACTCACACATTATTATAGTCATAATTATGACATATTCGGGTGGCCAAAAGCTGTCATATTGTTATCACGGACAATTTTTTTGTTTTTGTGTTGAAAAATGTTGAAACAAATTAGAAAAATAAACAATAATTTATCTGAGCCCCTTAAGGGACATTAGGGAGAACGCTCCCGGACAGAACATTAGTTTGAAAGTCATGCTTAGTGACACGAAAAATACTTCCAATTGAAATACATGTTTGAAAATCGTCCGTGTCCCAGATCACGAATGAATAGATTAAATGATGTGACAGTGTCATGCATTTCCGTGAGACTGGGTTGTCTGATTAGCTGATGCCCTCAGTCACTGTTTTGTGTGTCACTGTTGTTAGTAAAGCTATAACTTGCTATATTAGATTACCATGAGATGACAATATTATCTCTATGTTGCTCTGTTGTAGATTAGGGAGAAGTATAGAATAGACTGATAGTAAAGAGTGAAGGAGAGAAGAGGAAAAGAGCAGGAGAATAGTGTGGAAAGGCAGAAATAAAGAAGTAAACAACAGAGTGAAGCTAAGGAGAGAAAAAAGAAGGGTGAAGAAAAGAAAAGCATTGCAGGAGAAGAGAAAAGAGACAAGGAGAGGCGAGAAGAGTAGAGGAGAAGATGGCTCTTTCAAAGAAGCGCAAATTTTAACGAAAAAAATCCAGCAAGAATTTCCATTTATACTTGTGTAATAAAAGCTGGTTAAAATACATGAAAAAGTACTTGTCCCCGTTTTTTTATTTCATAATGATAATATTTAATGATTTTTCAACGCCGCATTGAAAATGTCCCCGAATTTTTATTTCAGAAATCTGGTCACCTTATTCATGAATATCAGTCACGTGACCTTTTACGTCATCCACTCTTATCCCAGCTTACGAGCGCCATCTTGAGTACCTACCGAGTACCAGCATAGACAGTACTGACAAGCATTAGCTAGCTTGCTACAATTTACGCATTCGTGTGGATACAGTAAATGGCTATGAAAGACAACATTTCGCACCTCGACTGCCATGAAAAGAAACGCTACGTTGAAAAAATATCACCGTTGGGCTGTGATCCCTACTCGATACCTGATGCGTTCTTCCAGCCTCTGTCCGCTGCTACCGAACTACCACTCCTGTCATTCAATGACATATATATATACTTAATACATAATCCGTCGCCATACACCGGTGAAAGCCTCAAAGCATACAGGAGTACCGAGGCATATCGGTACTTTGTTGCGGGCTGGGTCCTTGACTCGAAGATATGGCACCTTCACAAGAAGAAGAAGTTTCTCGTGAAAGGAAAGGTAAGTGTTCTTTTAACCCAACTTTGTTGGCTGCTACAGCTAGCCTAGCCACTCAAAGCTAGACTTTTGCATGCGAGTCCTGTCTGACACTCAATTCAATTCAATTCAATTCAATTTTATTTGTATAGCACCAATTCATAACATTTACAGAGACCCAACAGTACCACCATGAGCAAGCACTTGGCCACAGGGGCAAGGAAAAACTGCCTGTTAAAAGGCAGAAACCTAGGTGGGTGGTCGTCTGCCTAGGCAAGTTGGGGAGGGGGAGAGAGAGAGAGAGAGAGAGAACTTTCTTTCCTACTGTGTCATCAAAGTCATATTAACATTTTAAACATACTATTTTGGACCTTGGGCTGGTGTGATTTATTGAATAACCTAACAAATAAACCTTTCAAACTAACAGTCATTGGCTATGATGGTTTAATGAATCTGTTGGCTTCTTCAACATTCATCTAGTAGTATCTCGTGATCTGGTGTCTCTCCGCTCCCTTAGTACACTGTAAAAAAACAAAAAAGAGTTGTGTGTGTAACATGGCACTGTGCTGTAAATGCATTGATTGACAAATGGGTTGATTTTACTAGACTAATTGGTCTGCTGTCTTCTCTTAAGGTGAACCACTCTCAGGCCGTCAACTTGACCCCCACACAACCATGGGTCGTGGTCCATGATGATGGGACAATTCTAGTGGCCCACTGCACCTGCAAAGCAGGACTGGGCAAAGCATGCTCTCATGCAGCTGCCCTCATGTATGCTGTCTTAGCAGCGGTAAATCTAAAAGATGGACTGTTCAGTACAGAGATACCCTGTGCCTGGGTTCTTCCGAGCAAAACCGGCAAGGTGCAGTACGAGGAAATCTGCAACATCTTGCTCATGCAGAAGAAGACTGTAACACACCCACCACTACCCAGCATTCCTTTCCCCACAGAAGAGGAGTATATGGAGTTCTTCCAAAAGCTGTATGAATGTGATGTTCAGGAAGAAAGTACTAAGGGAACTGCTATCTTGTCTGTGATCGAGGGCCACTCTCACAGATATAAACCAAAGACCCTTCAACGGAATTTGCCAGAACCACTTTCTAATTTATATTCAAAGGCAAAGTTGCATGCTGATTTCTCATCCCTACTAGTAGAGAGTCAAAGCATCTTTGACAATCTTCGGATAACAGAGCAAGAGGTATGTACTGACAAATTGTAAGTCCTGTACTCTAATTTATATTTTTTGTGAGTTTTATCGATCATTTACCAATATCTGTATTCTTTTTAATATTTACATTTATAGCTTAATTTTGTTGAAACAGCATTAAATTTTTCTACTTTCAGTCCTTATCAGTAGAAGAGGCAATCAGAGCGCAGTCTGCCAGTAAGGTTTTGTTTGAGCAAAGAGCAGGCAGAGTAACAGCATCAGTCTTCCATGAAGCAGGTAGGTCAGATAGTGCTGTATCCTTGATTAAGAGGATTTGCTATCCCCGGTCCTGTCAGGTGTCTGCAGAGGCAATGAGGTAACAATAGGAATGTACAAAGAAAGACTACATATCAAAGTATATGCTGCCCAGGGCTGGTTTTAATTCCATTTGTCATAGCCATATTTCAGAGGAACAATGATGTTCTTACAATCCCACTTAAAGGACTTAGATGATACAAGCTGAAAATATGATCTCAATCCTAAATATACAACTTTTTCATGAACATAATAGTGTGTGCACTCCATAGAGAATAATTAATACATTATTCTGGATTTGCAGTGGTATACTGTAGTTTGCTAATGAAGTATGAGAAGTCTGTCTAAACAATACCTTATTCTCTATTTTTCTAGATGGGGAAATGTGAGTGAGCCAACAGCAAGGACACAGTACATCACAGCATTGCAAGATCATCACACCGATTTTCAAGTGCAGACAACAGGCCTAACTAGAAAATTCTTGTGCTTGCTTATGCAAGGCACAATAATTATCAACACATCACTGCCATGGATCAGTGCATCGCCGGATGGAATTATTACCTGTGCTTGCCATGGTAGAGGTGTGCTTGAGATAAAATGCCCTTTTACTCTTAAAGATCAGTCTATCGTCAGCAGCTGCAATGCTGACACAAACTTCTGTCTAATGGCAAAAGACAATGTGATAGCGCTGAAGCCGAATCACAAATATATTGCACCAAGTACAAATGCGCATTGCTGAGGTCCAGTAGGTTGACTTTGTAGTGTGGAGTCCCACTGAAATGTTTATTCAGCGCATTCAGTTTGATGAAGTGTTCTTCAATGTGAATACAATAGAGTAGAACAATTTATTAAAACTAGGATTTTGTCCAGAACTTCTTGGGAAATATTACACAGTACCATGTCCAGTGGTTTCCCCAACCTCAGAGCAACAGCCCCAGTCAGGGTGCTACTGTGGTGAACCAGCTGGAGATCCAGAGAATGTGGTAATCTGTGCATCTAAACAGTGCAAAAGAGGGCACTTTCACAGGTCTTGCTTGCAGTTGACAAGAGTTCCAAAAGTGTGGAAATGTTATGAATGCAGGAAAATCCAGACAAAAATTAAACACTGTATTAGTTCAGATTCCCTGTAGTGTTGACTACACACATGCACACACACCCCAATACGGTAGAATGTTACTCCCAGAGAATAATGCTTCAGGTTGTATTAGTTAATTCCCTGTAGTCACACATACGATATACTGTTACACTGTAGACTGTATCAAGTTTTCTGTGTGTGATTCACAGTATTTGTTATTTTGCTTTCTTTGATTTGTATATAGTTATTTTGGTGGGGAGGTTCCTCCTATTGCCTTTCAGCTGGTTTGGAGAGTGCAACTCAGATTTGAGTGCCCTGTCTAGTGTCCTGCCAAATTGTAAATACTATTTATATCTTGAAAATATATCCTATTACATACAATTCCATATCCTGCTCAATGAATTAATAAGCAGTGACAGTTTTACTGGCCTTGTTCTTCTGTTTTTAAGAAGTTTGACATTTAAATAAATAAAATATTTGTACTGTATCAGCCATAAACAGTGTCCTGTGTATCTTATTAATGTCACATAAACACAATTCATACAATTCATATTTATTCACTCTGGTGGAACAACAGGAGGGCAAAGGTTACAGAGGGCACAGCACATTTTCACCATCTTGTCCGGAGTGTGAGTCCATCTGGGGTTGAGTAGCACAGTGTTATTGATATAGTTCCTTGCAAAATGGTGTATTTATTCCGTACTAGGCCTATAACTCTGTCTACATGGATGCGCACTGCTGCCAGTCTCCGCGATGACTCAACTTCAGCTGGGTGAAGCTGCTGTTTTTCTTTAGTAAATGCCGGTATCTTGAGTCGAGCATTAACAGGACCCAAAGAGTCTGCCACATTAAACCCTCTGTCTGCAAGAACAACAACTCCAGGGGACAATAACTCAAGAAATCCACTGTTCTCAGTCACATGCTTATCACTTGTCCTCCCGCCTCAACCTTTCGAAACAAAGTTGATGACCCCTTGTGGAGTTATGGAGATGAGGTATTTAACTGTTATGATGCTTATACTGAGAATATGTTTGTGCTCTTGCTCTCATTTCCTTTGGTCTTTCGATAAACGTTTCAAAGCAATCAATAATACTGGTACAATTTTCGAAGCAGTTCCTATAACACATTGGAAGACTACAGAGGATCTGATCTCTGCTTGGCCACTTTATGATATTACACAGCCTGATATTCATGACATTCAATGTGTTGTTGAAAACCCGACCAGCAGTTGACGTAGATACATGAAACACATACATGAGCTAAAAAGAAAAGTGGCAAGTTCATTCTCAGGCGCATTAATGTCAACAGAAACTGCTGAAAAGGGGACAAACAGGATTTCAACTTTAGGAATGATGAGATAAAAGAGAAAACAACAATTAGTTCAACATATGAAGGCAGGCCAGTTAATTTATGTACTTTATCATCTTTGTCCTTCAAATTTTCTTGGTTGAAAGACAATGAATTTACTTGACCCTTCAGCTTCCAAATTTCTGTCTGTAATCTTGTGCACTCCTCATTTAATCGTTTCATTGTGGCTTCACAAGAGGCATTTCCACAGGAACGTCCCAGGGCTAGGCCTACATCACTGCTAGTCTCCAATCTAGGCTCCTCACTCTCAATCTCCTGTCCCTCTTCTCCATCCAACTCATGTCCGTCTTCTCTACCCAACACCTCTTCGTCTCCCCTGTCAATCTCCTGTCCATCTTCTTCATCCAACTCATGTCCATCTTCTCTACCCAACACCTCTTCATCTCCCCTGTTAATCTCCTGTCCATCTTCTTCATCTAACTCATGTCTGTCTTCTCTGTCAAACTCTAGCCTGTCATCTTTGTCCAGCTCCACTCCCTCTTCTTCTTTTCCAGTCTCTCCTCTGTCCAAACTAACTACTCTTTTTCTTTTCAGTTTGTGTGTTTCTTTGAATCGTGTCATTTGATTAATCCTCTTCCTCTTGTTGGGGGAGCTGAGGTACGGAAATATTGTTGGTACAAAGTCAGGGCTCGGAGGGTTTTGGCTCTTCACACCTGGAGAGACAAAGATTTCAGGATAGAATTTAGATTGTGAATAACTCTCAAAAGTCAACAACATGTGAATGAAATCATGTCAAATGTGAACAATATGTTGGAAAGAAATCTACAATGTCAGTAAAATAAATAATACTAGTATGTGAAGTTAATAAGGACTGAAGAACTCATATGTGCTATGCTTTTGCAAAACAGAAACTACAAGCAATGCTCCAGGCTGCCAACGTTATAGTGTAAACAGATTAGCTAACAACTTGTTAATGTCACCAGTCTTAGGAGCACTTGAATAATATCGGTGAGATATGTGGTAAATAACGTTACAGCACGGGGAGCAGAGGGGAGGCTATGGCATTAACTCATTTACACTAAAACCATTAAAAGCACACACACACAAAAAGAGATGGTGGTGTTTTGTTTAATAATTGTAAATAATAATGTAATAATAAGTGTTTTTGCAATAATCTTAAACTGGTTCTAAGCTTGAACAAATATCCTCAGCTAACGTTAATGACTGATGTGATGTCTCTACCAGATATTTTAACACGTTTTTATTAAACGATAAATTGACATTTGACGCTAGACTCATGCTGTTAGACACAGTATATGAACCAATTCACACTGATTGCTTAATTAATACTGTTTGGAAAGATTCGTATGTTATCATCTATAATAAAATTTGGCGATTAGCGACAGCGAGCAGCTAGCGTTAGCTCACTAACAATATATTTACATCCACTCACCAGAGACAAAATGAGCAACGCACAGACGAGTGTTTGCAGTTGGTGTCCAGTCTGCCCTCTTGATGGCTGCAAGCCACTGATGGTGTCTTTTTTCGTCCTGAGGTAGTCTGTAAAAGGATATTTTGGGGTCTCCTTTTTTGTTGTTGCACCCGGCCGCACAACATATTAAAGGCATAGTTCCTTTACGATCTCGCCGAATCAGGTACTCAACATGACGGCAGACAAGTTAGAATGTGAGTGACGTCAGGTGAGGATACGTTTGTGACATCATCTGATATTCATGAATAAAAAATGTAATATCGGGAATTATTGGTATTAGGTTTTTATAACCGATGTTTGTTCTGTAGGCTTCAGCCTTTCCGAGCCTGTATGAACGCAGCATGGGACGTTTACCGGCGCGCACTAGATGGCGTATAACAACAACAACTACAGCTAGATTGGTTGGTTGCTAACTGTGGCTAACAAGCAAACAATTTGATTTTAATATTAACACAAAATAAGGGCAATGCACCTTAAATATTTTACTCTACTGTTCCTTAACCAAACTAACAATTGGCTTAGAATTTACATTAGCACTCCTTCAGGTGCATAATACAATTAAACACATTAACCAAAGCTAGCGCTTAGTTAGCGATTAGCGTTAGCGCTCTTTTCAGTATTAATACAATGAAAGTTGAAGTTGTTCTCTTATTTTGCACATACAGTGTTTACATTTGGAAAGCCCTGTTGCATTTATATATGCATCCAGTGGGGCATCAAAATAAAATTAAGCATAATGTGTTAATTCCACAATAGGAGATATGTTATGTTGTTACCTAACACTTTTGGTGTAAAAAGCCTGCATATATCGGTATCGGGTGATATCGGTATCGGAAATTGAGAGTTGGACAATATCGGAATATCGTTTATCGGCAGAAAAGCCAATATCGAGCATCCCTAGTCATTTTGGTTATGTATGATAAATCTATGTGATATAATCATGAGTGATTTTACAAAGATAGGAAAAATAAGGAATATAAATAAGAAAAAATCAGATTACACTTCATCCAAATCTTAAACAATCTAATCTATTCTTAAAATGTGGAGATTCTTGCTGAACGCTCATCAGCTGGCGAAATCTACCGGTGGCGATTCACGTGACTCCACCGCCAGCTGATTGGGGCCGCTACAGCTTTGTCTACAGCTTTGTCTACTGTTTTGTCTCTGCTGCTAATCACACAGTTTGTCTCTGCTGGTATATAGGACGTTGTCCCCTGCTTTGTTTCCGGCAGCCACTTATTCCTTGCTGCTCTGTGCTGCTTGGTGGTGCTGCTGTTGCTGGCTTTTGGTTACAGCCGGCTTGCATGGTGGACTGCCGACACCACACTTTTAACCTGGTTATCCCTTTAATTTTAGCCGAATGATTGTAAGGAGTTAATCCCTTAGTTTTGTATTACTTGTTTTGTTTTCTGTACTCTATTATTGTTTTGATAAAGTAAAATGTTTTATTAAGTTTATTTTGTGAACTATTTCCTGCTTTATGTTGTATATTGTTTTGTACATTTTGGGTTAATTATTTCCATTGTAATTTCCTTTTTTTGTTTCCTTCTCAGTGGCTGCAGGCTGGTGGTGGTGCTGGTGACGTGGGTGGTGGTGTCCCTCCTTCTTGTGTGCTGTGGTTCCTTGGATTTGGTGAAACCACAGTGTGTGACTGCCACGTGTGGCTGGGTGAACCCTTTTTCTTTGATTTATTTTTGTTGAGTCCCCTTCCCCTTCACCTGCTCTTTCTCACGAAAGCGTTCTTCTCTGGAGTTGCTCTGTTGCCTGCAAATCAAAAGGTGTTAATGGCGAGTTAGTCAAAGCAATACATTGTTCAACTGTGGCCTTCGCAGCTAAGTCAGCACTAACATTGTCCTGTGAGAGTGTTTTTTTACATTTTCAGATAGCAATTTGTTTGGGTTACAACACATTCATGCAGCTGTCCATCACCTGGAGTTTGGCGAAAAGTAGCAGAGTTAATAACAATTTAATATTTTAACTTTGGTATCTTATTACATTGAAACATTATTTTTTTTTCAAGTAGAATCATTGACACTTCATGTGTAACCAGTGTCACGTAATGCTATCACAGCCTTTTGTCTTTGTCATCCCCCATGGTCCTGGATTAGTTCTGAAGTCAATTAACCCCTGTTTGTCAACAGTCTGTGTGAATGTCTTGTTACAGTCTGGTAGGCCTATGTCAGAGGAGTCTGAAGAGCTAGCTTTAAGTCAACAAAAGCTTTCTCAGCTTCTGGTGTCCATTGGACTTTGCCTTTTGCAGCGAGGCCTTGCTCATCATGCGTTGATGCCAATGGTGCCTCAGTTTCAGCACAATTTGGGATCCACTGTCTGCAGTAGGATGTCATTCCCAAAATTTTACCTGTTTCTTTGTTTCAGGCCATGGAATGGTTTGAATTGCTTCAGTTTGTTTGGGTTAGACAGTTTTGCCCTCTGCTGTGATCACATGACTCAGAAAGATGACCTTTTCAGAGACAAGCTCCAGCTTAGATAAGCTAGCAGTATGGCATATTAGATTGAGTGCTTCAAAATATTTCTTTAATGCTGCATTAAAGATTAAATAAATGGCTAAAGGTAAACATCTTGCCTTTAAAGGAGAATGCTAACCACTACTAACCACTACTGACTGTCAGGGTCGACTGGGATGCTGAAGAAATGCCAAATCAACAACAGGAAAAAAACATTTACTCTCATATTTAATTTTAGAGAAGAATGTGTGTGGATTTAGAACATTTGGTGCATGGGCGATGATTGCAGCATTTACTGCTTGCAAATCCTGAACAAATATCCAATCTGACTTAGTTAAGGAATTTCAGTGGCGTCTTTCACAAAAATGTGTTTGTCATGAAATAGTTTATCATCAATTGTTACCAGATATGTCATTTGAAGTTCTGTGTCTGGAATGAGCTCAACTGTTACTGTTTTCTTTGTGTTCACGACGGGAAAAATATTTTATGGTAAACTTTCAGTTTGTTTGTAAAAATGAACATTAGGATCTGATGTCTATCCCCACCCAGTAGCTTCATTGCATGTCCTGGTCCAATACCCCAACTTCTCCCACCTGTCATGCTTAGATTTGACCAATGAGACATAATGATCTGAGTTTGGTTCCTGAAACAGAGTTTGACAACATGGATCTTTCACAATCATTGAGACAGCACATCGATTATTCATTATTAACTTTGAATGTGTTTTACCTTGGTCCTCACACGAAATGGATGGATTCCTGGTGTTTTGAAAAAGTCAACAGGCTTGTCTGTTTGAGTATCTGGCTCAAAGCAAAGAAGTAGTAGGCTTACCTTTTATTGGTAACCGTTACTGTTCCTTCTTTCTGAAATAAGAGGCTGGGTTGATGAGCCTCTGGTGAATAAAGAGCAGTAGCCTGACTGCTATGTTCAAAGCAAACGTATTAAGCCATGGTTTAACTGCACTATAGGCTAGCTTACCTTACATGTGCACTTTGTAATTTTATTTTGTATCGCCCTGTTTTGATCCCTTAGAAAGGGCTGTTGAAGGGGCTGTTTGTGTGACAAAGTATTTTTTTCACACTTTAATTGATGGACAGTGTTACATTGTGTGAGAGATTTTTTGCTCCAAGTGAGAATGTTAGTGTGAAATTGAACACTACAGTGTATGCCAATGTTGTTTTCAATAAAAACAACATTTGCACAAAGCAAGCCATTCCACTTTTCCATGTTGATAAGAGCATTAAAATGAGAAAAAATAATGGGATAAAAAGAAATCAAGGGACATTTAGAATAGATAAAAATGTGTGATTAATTGCAAGTTAACAATCGCGAGTAAATATTTTAAACGTTTGACAGCACTAGTCCTTCACTGTATTTCCTGGCCCCAACCTCTTCTGCCGCGTCCTCAGTCTTGTCTGCATCCTGTAGATTGTCCAGTTGTAATTTGAAGGTTTCCATAGTCCCAAGTCACACAGTTATGTTTCACCATGTCACTGATTTCTGGCTAAATGCCTTGGATGAAACTGCTCTCCAGTGGGCCTCACAGGGGGATATGGGATTGTTACCCCCCATAGCCTCTGATCTACAAAGTCCAGTGTGTGTTTTGTGGACCTGTGTGAGTCTGGCTAGATATTCTGCCACAGTCTGTGTTGACGTTCTGATCTGATCTCAGAGTCTCTCTGCGCCTGAATCCTGGATGGATTCTGTTGGTGGTGTCTGTTGTTGTTGAGGCTGCTGCGGCTGCTAGGGGTGGGAATCTTTTGGCACCTCACGATTCGATTCGATTCGATTACGATTCAGATAAACATTCTCAAAGCAGAAGTTGTAGATAGCCATACTCGGAGATGCAGTCCCAACATTATGACCAGACAGTTAACTTTTCAGATGATGACGGCAGCATCTGTGATCACAGATCAGAACATGGTCATATTCCATCAGACAGCGTCTCTCTGCCTCTGGCTACCTGGAGCGTAACAGCCCTGAGCCAGAAGTTAGGACAAACTTTAGGCACAAGAGCAAAAGACCTTGCTCACGGTCATGACACAATTCATCCCTGTACTGAGCGTACCATACCTTTTCTGCAGTTCCATATACAAACTTGAATTTGTTAGCAACCCCAGTAGACTCAGTACAAAATCCCTTAACACAGTAATAGTTAGACAACCTACTATTAGCTGGAAAACAACCAATCTTCATCTGACACCACTGTGGGTGATACCAGCTGTTTCCCTTATTTAAGGGTGGTGCCCCAAGGACCTTTAATATTAATTAAATTCATTTTCTATTATCTTTTGATAATTAATAAACTTTACAGTTAACCCAGTTGTTTAACTGTATTAGTGTAAAGACTGTCGGTAAAGTTTAAATGGTTCCGATGTCATTAATCATAGCACCTACAATTGCCAACAGTACAGGATGGCTGTGGCTCAGAGGCAGAGTGGGTCGTCCCCTAATCGGAAGATTGTTGGTTCCATCCCCGGCTCCTCCTGCCACGTGTCGAAGTATCCTTGCACCACCCTTAAAGAAGGGAAAAGATGGGGTGCCTGGTTAGCTCACCTGGAAGGGCTGGCACCCCATGTGCCAGGGCCAGGTCCTTGCTGCAGCGGGCCAGGGTTCAAGTCCGACATGTGGCCCGCTCTCTCGACCGCCTTTCCTGTCTATCTACAGCTGTCCTGTCCAATAAAGGGAAAAGCCCCAAAAAACATTGTTGAAAAATAAAGAAAGAAGGAAAAGCATAGCCAGTTATTTATTGATCAGTCGAATAAGATACACTAAACTATTAATTTAATAGTAGTTATAACTAAGGCAGGTATCACCCACTCTTGTGCGAAATTAAATAGGTCAGCATGTAAAAACACAACCATTTAATAAAGATAATAAAGGCAAAACAGAGGAAAATACACAATATACACAATCTAACTTAAAGGAACTAAGCCAAGGAAAAAAGATGTGTGTATATATGTGCACATGGGGGGTTG